TTAGTGCATCCCATGTTTCGGTGTTGATGCCTAAGTTTTTTATTGCTAACATTGTTTCGGTGCAAATATCGTGCATTGTGCGAAGCTTCTGGCTGTTTTCACTTTTATGTCTTGGTAACTGCAACAACTTATCTATATACTCACCGAACTGTTGTCGTTTATTATCATAGCGTTTGTATAGTACCTGCATCCTGCAAGCACGCCTCGTACTGATCAGCCGTTGTTAAATCCGCTACCAATCTTGCAGCTTGCCCCTTGAGATTCGCTTTCGGGTGTTCCATTTTGTATGATGTACTGATGTTTTTTTCGTGCACAATTTTGTTGAATAAATCGATAAGGTCACTCGTCGCGTTTTCCGCTGAATTCCGGTATTTTTTAGTTTTGGTAAATCGGAGTTGTTGTGGTCGCTGCATGAAATTTCATTCAAGTGTCCGATTGCATTGGTGTATTTTTTTTGTAGAGCTTGCATATTGACTTGCATGCTAATTCGGTTGCTTGTTGCGCGCAGCGTGTAGTAGTGAGAACGAAATGTGCTCCATGTTTCTCGTAGCAATTCCAATTGAGCTTTAATCATTCCGTTTCGTTGGTTTGAGCGCATTTCTAGCGAAGATTTGATCAAATTGTAAATGTCAGTGTACAGCAATTTGAGGATTTCTCCGCTTTCGTTGTTTGGCTCGTTTTTTGGCACTCCAATAGTTGCAGATGATTGTACGTTGGACTGATTATTGTCATTTCCATTTTCGTTGCTACTGAATTCTGCTGCTGTCGAATTTGCGCCATCGCATTTATCGTCGATAAAGTCTTCTAACGTAGCGTCCAAAATATTGATCAATGCTTCATCTTCCATATCTGAATCGCTGTCGTCTTCATCGTCGTTGGGTTCGTTCGGATTTGGCGGCATTGCAAATCCTTGTGGAGCGACTTTTACTAAACCTTCTTGCAATTCATTGCGATGTTTCAAGTACAACTCCCTGCTCGAATCGAATAAGTTGTCTCTAAAGTATGGTTGATTTGCATCTGGTTGGGCCATCAGAGATTGATGGCGCACTTCAAATGCTATCCACCATGTGTCCAGGCGGTTGATGTGACGTGAGAAGTAAGCTGGAACAGCCTTCCTGTCGTTGCCGTCTTTGGTGTAGTTTTTGATAGTTTTCTGCAATTGTCGAATTGCGTCGCGTTGTGCTTTAATTAGTGCCTGCATTTTGATCGAAGATCGTATACTGCTTGCGTTTTGTTATTTGATAACACTGCACTAATAAAACTTGAAGAATATTTCACTTGTTGAAAAAAGTTGGACTTTTTCACTTTGTTGAAAGAACATGCCAGACGATTCCCCAGTCGAAAATTATCCCGAAAGAGGCGCCGCATGTCAATAACAACAAATCAGCCTCTATACAATACATATATACAGAAGAATCCTCACTCTTCCCACAGTTGCGACCGATGTGTGTTGGGGCCGAATGCTATAGCATGCTGCTATTGCAAGTGTATATTTGTCAACAACATCCCGTTAGATTTTTGTTCTCAATTATAAGAATTCAAATACTTTACACTCGCACACACAAAGCAACACGCTCAAAACATGAAAATACCGATACGGTGTGTGTATGAAATATTGCCGCAGTATTACTGCGTTTAATTTTTCTGAATAATTTATGTTGGTGTGTGGTACAATATGACTTGTTGCCTTTTTCATACAACCGTGAGCAGTGAGCATCACAAATAAATAACTATTCATTTCAATACGTGTTGGTCATCCTTCACTCAAGCGTCGGTTGTAGCGTATTTTAATGGATTAATGAATAGTACGGGGAGTTTGGAAAAACTCGTCGCTCAGGCTGTTATCAGTCTATTGCGAGACGCCCGTTTATGTCCGTTGCGGACATAATTCGTTGTAGTAGATTGCTTTGTTTAAAATATGATTTTTAGCCTGGAGTCAAACTCACAGGCCAACGTAAACCATTGAATGATTTTATATATATTTCTTATAATTGAACTAGGCTGTGCTTGTTCGTTTCCCAGACAATCCTTTCTGATGCTGCGTAGGCAAGCGCAGTCACACATCAAGTGAGATGTCGTTTCTTCCGCTCTTCCGCACAGCCTACAGTCCGGATCGTCACGTAACCTCATCTTCTTTAGGTGATAATTCACCTTTGCGTGTCCCGTTAAGAGGCCAACCGCAATTCTGAGAGATGGTTTGTCTAGACTGATCAATTGATTTGTAATTTTGTTGGACTGGGCGCTTATGAAGTACTTCGTCTGATTGCTTGAACTCGTTGCTCTCCAGCGTGCGTTAATGTGTTCCTTTAGCCAAAGCTCCGTCTTCCTCTTCACAATTGAATAGTTAATTGGTAGGAATGGCTCTGGGCCAAAGGTCCTTACAGATGCCGCCGCTTTTGCGAGCTCGTCCGCAGTATCATTTCCGCGTATACCAGAGTGCGCACGAATCCAAATCAGTCGAACTTCATCACAATTCTGCGCTAGTCTTTGTAGTGTCAAGTGGCATTGTAGAACAATTTCGCTGTCTATCACGTAGTTGTCAAGGGCTTTGATGGCTCCCTGGCTGTCTGTGAAGATAGCAATCTTACCCGCTATGCCTCTTTTTAAAATTTCGTTTCCACATTCTGTGATGGCTGTAATTTCCAGCTGTTTCACAGTGGCATTTATTCCCATTGACCCTGAGATATTAATTTCCGGAGAGGCGCAGTGTACTCCGTAGCTTCCGCCCTCGCCCTTCAAAGAGCCATCGGTGAAGAGTGCTACGTTGGCCCACTGAAACTCTCTACAGAAATCATTCATATCTTTTGTGTATCTGACTTCAAAGGTCTTCCCAAATGCATATACTGGTTTTGAGAGTCTGTCTGAATGGGCACTTAGAATGTTATCTATTGATATCAGTTGATTCAGTGTAGCGTATTACACACGCTCATTGAAGTGCGAAAGGGACAATCGATCATATTGTACTATCGTTTACCTTCTGTATTACGCATCACTGTAGATGACACAGAGAGCGACAGATGCCGGAATATATCATGTATGTGGACACTGAATTTGTGTTTGTGTTTATGTTTGTGTATCTCTGTGAGGGAAACAACGTAAAATCGGTGTAGTTGTTGATGTTTACTAAAATGAAACACGGATCGAAGCAGTAGAGCGACATCTGACCAGATTATTCCCATTGGGAAGAAATCAGTCGAATTTTAGGTGAAGTTTTTTGTTGAAATTGAAGATTTTCGGTTGTGTTTTTAGTGTTCGAAGGACCAAAATGACTAAGATCTTTGTGATAGAAGTTGTCATTAAAATACAGGTGGTTTTTAGTCGATGGTTGATTAAAGACTGACGATTTTATTCATGCACTTAAAGACTATATACAATAAATTGTTTAGCTGACCTATTCTAAATTCTCCGAATTCTATTCAGTTTATGTTTGCACTTATAACTAAATAATAATTTTATGATTCATTATTTCTTGCGATTTCATTATTGTTCGATTTCAGTTAATTCAAATTTATGTCAATAGACATACGGTATCACATTTACTTTACATCACTCAATAAGGTATAGGTAGGATACGATGATCTACGCATTCCCTTAAAAAATTACAAGCGAATCTCATGCAAAATCAATATCCATACTCAGTAGCACTTTCCATAGAAATATAGACAGCTCCTCAATTAGTTTGAAATTCCAATGAACACACACGGAAAGAAAAACTTACAATCCGATACAATTCACATGAAAAAGAAAAAAATTCTGTCATTGTCGCATTTCGTACCAACTGTGGTAATGCGAGCTGCAAAGTAATACAATATAACAGTGGAATGAAGCAAGAGAGAAATGAAATAACAACTTGTTCTGTTGGCGTTAGTCGCGAGACTGAAACATAATGCACTTTAATAAAACATTATTCATACGTGACAATTCTACATTTTACATTCTCCCCGAATTGATACATTTCTTTGTTTTATTATCCTGCATTTACATTGTTAGGATTTGCGTTGTTAACATTTCGATTATTATTCTGCTGGTTGTATTTTCTTTTTATATTCTTCTTGAACTTAACGTATAGGTAAGTCCCTATCCTAAATACTTCAATGGCACACATGAAATACATAGCGTATAACATTTTCACGTTTAACTCTGCCTGAGTGTGCACATCTTTTGCTTGCTGTTGGATCACCACATTGTTGTTAACATGCCCGGTTGATTCCACAACTTTTTCCTCAGTTCTTTCCTCGGAACTACCAAATATGCCCATTCTATTTAATTTAAACAAAAATTACAATTTATGAACTTAAACGGGTAAAATTATTCCAAATGAACTTTATATGGGCCTTTCACAAATAATACGTACTTGAAAATTGAAACAATGACCAAATTGACAATACTATTCTCAAAATGATTCAAATGTTAAAATTTTATGTTGACTCTTCAGATGCCAATAAATGAATGAATTATTGATAATTTTGAAAACCTGACAAACATGAACATTTTACAAAAATTGTTTACTGTGTAGAATACCAAAACTGAAAATGAACTTTATTCTCAAAACTATATACCAGTCAGCAGAAAAATTTGAATATGCTATGCTGTTGTTATGCCCAACTTTCTTATTAGTTCATTGAACTGCTGTGCTGGCAAAGCTTTTGTAAACACATCAGCAATCATTTCTTTCGATGGAATGTATTCAGTAATGAAATAATCGCGTTCATACTTTTCCCTAATAAAATGGAACCTAACGTCAATATGCTTCGTTCTTTTGTGGTATTCTGGGTTTTTAATCAATCGAATGGCACTGTTGTTGTCCATGAATAAAATGATTTTTAAAACTTTTGCATCCAGAATAAAATCGCTCTCGCTTTCGACCGAAATCTCTCCAACAAGAATTTCGTAAAGTAATTTTCCCAGCCAGACCAATTCTTTTACGCATTGTGCAGCAGCCATGTACTCGGATTCGGCGGTAGACAAGGAGACGGATTGTTGTCTTTCTGATCCCCAGCTTATTGCTCCATTTCCGAAGATAAAACCGTAGCCGGAAGTAGATCTTCTGGTTGTGATGCAGCCCGCATAGTCCACGTCGCTGTATCCATGCAATTCATGTGTTTTACTACTTGAAAAAAGAATACCATGATTAAAAGTTCTTTTAAGATATTTCAAAATGCGCTTAGCTGCCCGTTCGTGTGTTACTGTTGGTTTTTCGAGAAAACGACTTGCAATGCCAACGGCATATGCAATATCCGGCCTAGTGCCGACTGCTAAGTACATCAAACTCCCAATCAGTTCACGGTATGGATAGTTCGATGCGTCTGATTCTTCGTAATTGAACATTGCTTGGCTTGGGTCCGCCGGTGTGGCGACACCATGACAGTTCTCCATATCGAACCGACACAACACTTTCTTCACATATGTTGATTGATGTATGAAGATTGAGTTGTCCTCCCTTCTTTGAATTTCAATCCCGAGAAAACAGTCAACATCCATTTCTTTAATTTCGAACTGTTCTCTGAGATGTTTGATCACCGCGTTGATTTCGTTTACATTTTCTCCAACAATTAAACCATCGTCCACATGGATCGCAAGGATGGTTAACGTGCCGTCTTTTCTGCTTATAAAAACGCACGCGTCCGAAATCGATGGGATAAAACCGAAACGCCTGATAAAGGATGTGAACTTCACGTTCCAACACCTGCTTGCTTGCTTGAGGCCGTACAAGCTTTTCTTCAGTTGACATACTCGGTTTGTTCCGTCGTTGAAACCAATAGGCTGTTCCATAAAAACTGTTTCTTTGAGTATGCCGTTCAAAAAGGCAGTTTTAACATCAAATTGTCGAATTGACATTTTTCTTTGGGCAGCCATCGCCAAAATCAATCTGATTGACGTAAAACGTACCACGGGACTGAATGTTTCGAAATAATTTACCCCGTATTCTTGGGTAAATCCACGCGCTACTAGTCGTGCTTTGTACCGCATATTTTTCTTTTCTGCTTTCACTTTAAATACCCACTTATTATCAACAATTTTCTGGTTCGTTGGTCTTTCTACGAGCTCCCACGTATTGTTTTTAATTAATGAGTCGAATTCCTCTTTCATGGCTAGCTTCCACTGATTACAATTTTCATCTCTTAAAGCCTCCTTGTAACCATTTGGTTCACCGACCACATAAGCGATAGCTACATTCATGTTCAACACTTCAGCATCACGAGACTTTGATCGTGTTTGCATTACGTTGCTGGTTCCGTCAATCCTGGCTCTGGTTTGATAAGTTGGATCACCTAAAGACGAATCTTTTTCTCCATCATCCACTGTCGTTTCATTCAAACTTTGATTCGGACTGTCGTTGATCATTATAACTGAATCATTCTGAGAAGTAGTTGCCTCATTGTTTTCCGCAGATTCACTCGCATTTGTTGATATTACAGCTGGCGGCGTGTTTTGAGTTAACGTCGATTCAATTTCATCATTCTCCCCTGAATCGATGTTCTCGTTTTCTTCTTCAATAGGAAAAAATTCGACGCCTTCATCTTCAACCGCAATTCGCTCAACCCAATTCCTTGAATCGTTGGTAACAGTCGAGTCAATTGTTTTGTTTTCACTCTCCATGAAAACTACATCTCAACTTATCACAATCCGCTTAGTTTCAGTGTCATATAGACGATACGCCTTTGCATCATCTGCAAATCGTAAATAGACACATGGATATGATTTTGAATCCAACTTCTTTCGCTTCTGATTTGGTTGCCATACCATGGCCCTGCAACCAAATACTCTGAAAATTCTCATGTTACTCTTTCTTCCATGCCATATTTCATCGGGCACTGCTCCACTTGATGCATTGGGTATAACATTAATAATGCTAACGGCAGCAAATACAGCCTCGGCCCAAAACTGCTTGCTCAGGCCGGAGTCAATTAGCATACAGCGTACTTTGTCCATTATTGTGCGATTCATTCGCTCAGCCAAACCGTTCTGCTGAGGCGAGTAAGGTGAAGTCTTTTCATGCTTTATGCCATTCTTTGCAAAATAATCATGAAATATTTTATTTTCGTATTCTGTGCCGTTGTCACTTCGAAGCCTCTTGATTTTTCGTTCTGTTTGCGTTTCAACAAACTGTTTAAATTCCACAAACTTTGAAAAAACTTCTGCTTTTGATTTCAGCAAAAATACGAAACATTTTCTGCTATAATCGTCAATAAAACTTACATAGTATCGCGCGTGACCATGTGACTGTACGGGCATTGGGCCGCACACATCGCTGTGAATCAAATCTAAAATTCCACTTGCACGTGTGCCTTTGTCGACGAATGATTTTCTTGCTTGTTTACCCATCGAGCAAACAACACATTGCATATCAGGTTTCACTTTGATGTTGAGAAGTGAACCCATCGTAGCAAAATTCATATGCGCTAATCGCCTATGCCATAAAATCGGATCGCGATATTCACTGACATTTGCCGCACAAGCAATTTCACTCGGTTTTATGTTCAATTTGAACATATCATTCTCCAACACTCCGCTTGCGATCACTTCTGTTGCTCCATTGCTGTTTTTGCAAATTCTAACACCGTTGATATCGAAAATAACTGTGCATTTGTTCTTTACCATTTGGCTTACTGATAAAAGGTTCACACACAATTTCGGTATATAATGCACATCTTTTAATGTTATGTCCCTTTCTGAGCGGTCGCCGATCATGCATTTCAGATCACCTACATGATTTATTTTCAATCTTTCATTATTGGCCACTTTTACTTCACTGATACTTGGTCGCTTGATATTTTCCAACTGAAAATCAACATGTGTCATATGCTTTGAAGCACCACTATCTGCGAACCATTCATCATCGTTTTGAGTTTTCGTTGCAAGTGCACTATACAAAACAACATCATTATTGCCTGGCTCACAATTTCCAATCGATCGTAAAACATCACACGAATCAGTCTTAACACATTTATCTTCCATAGAGTCCTTGTCCACAAGAGCACTATACAAAACGCATTCACCTTTTTCGCTTTTTTCTCTGTTTTTCGACGTACATTTATTTCTGAAATGTGGCCCCCCGCAATCATAACATTTAACTGGCTTTTTTGATTTGCCCTTGTTATTGAACTTCTTTTTGTTTTGTGCATTTAGTGCATTTTCACTTGCGCTTTCAAAATCGACACTTTGAAGTAATAATGTTTTAACACTGTCGGGTGACAATTTATCTCTAACACTCATTACTAGAGGTCTGTACGCTTCACCCAGGCCGCACAGTAAAATTTCACCGGAAACTTCGTCGTCAAGCTTAAAACCCTTTTTCACTTTTGCATAAAGTCCAATTTTCTTATTTACGTAGTCGGTGATCGATTCACAGTCGCTGAGTTTAAGCATTACGAATTGTTCTAACACAAACACTTTTCGCAGCACGCCATTATCTTCGAAAATACTTTCAAGAGCGTCCCATGCCTTTTTAGCTTCTGTTATTTCTTCAATATACGAAAATAAATTTGGTTCCAAAAGTGACGTGATTTCTGCCAGTGCCCTCTGATCTTTTGATTTATCCGTTGCACTTGCTGACGGCGATAAGTCCGTTGTTACGCATGCCCACAATTCTTTTGTTGTGAGAAATGCTCTCGCGCCGACCTTCCATTCACTGTAGTTTTCTCGGCCTTTTAGGCGATCAAAACCTAACTTCTGATTTGACATCACGAATTTGTAAAAAAATTCTTCACGAAAAATCGAATGAAAAGAGACTAATTCAACACGCTTTACACTTCTCTACTTCAAAAAACTTCAATTGCTGCGTAGCAGTATGCCCATAACCTGTGGTAATGTGAGCTGCAAAGTAATACAATATAACAGTGGAATGAAGCAAGAGAGAAATGAAATAACAACTTGTTCTGTTGGCGTTAGTCGCGAGACTGAAACATAATGCACTTTAATAAAACATTATTCATACGTGACAATTCTACATTTTACACCAACACAGCCAACTTTTTGTTTCCATGAAATAAATTCTTCGTAAAGGTAAAAAATCTATGGGACAGATTCGAGAAAGTTATCAATAATACTGAGAAAAAACTTGTTCCGTTTGTGTCAAAGATCGAAAAATGTATTCATTTTATTAAGTTTATCAAGCTCTTTCAAAGAAGATTTTACCTAGCATTGAATTTTCGTTTAAGCTATACTATCTAAATGCGGTCAAACTAGTTATAATGCCATCGTTAGATGGCGTTTGTTCTGGTCAAAAGCTTAAAGGTCCTCCGTGGTGTGCGTTTTTTATATTATCGCTAAAATTTTATTTTATCTCATTAAATCAAGAATATTAAAAAAAATTGATTATGAAATTCGGTCTTTGTTCTAATCGATAATTTATTTGAAATAAATGCAGACGTTTCAATTCATCTGCGACTCTTCTTCAGGGCCCCAAAAATAACAAATGTTTTGGGTTCAAGGATACTATGACGATGCAAGCGTAATAATGGGCTGTAGTATTCTACGTCGGTGGTGACAGTGGGTAAATTAAAAAGTCTGGTATTTTTCAGAGAGTAAGTATGCTTAACTACGTTGTAATTGTGATTGACACTGGTTGACAAAAGTTTATTTTTCTAATGATACCTACTTATTACATAGAAATAGTTAAGGTTGCACAAATCAGCAAAATGATATCTTCTAATTGAAAGCGTAACAGAAAAGTTGATGGTTGAACAAAACAACAATATTAATATTGTTGACCACACAATTTGATATGGTCAAAGATTGACAAAAAATGTATTGGAATAATTCTTCTACACGACAATCGAAAACGGGAATCGAAGGAAATCATCCGATTATTCAGCTATTCGCCACCTGGAAAATACAGATCGACTAAAGATCAAACAATTTCTTGTTTTGTGAAAGAATAAAAAGAATTACATTCGTAATCCTGTACTTTTCCGTACAGTTTTTCCTGAGTTTTATTGTTTTGATTGTTGTAATTTTTTGGTGTGCGCTCGCACCACAACACATTGTTACATGTTTTGCTTTCTGTGTATACTTTTCTTCTTTTTTCTCTCACTCACAATCGCAAACAGAGAGCTGAGTCCAGTGTAATTTGATACTCGTTGAGGATGACAAATGTCGAAATGCATCCGAACCAAAATATCGTTTATAAATAAATATTCATATTGATTTATGTTTGAAATTTGAAAAAGCAAAGTCACTTTAAGGTGTTTTATTTAAAATTTAACAAATAAATTCCGATATGATCACAGTTTGGTCGATTTTGCCCGGTTTTTGCAGTAATTTGTTCGCTTTAACGAATGGATACTGTTCTAGAAGCGGGTTTTGGTGCATCCTCAGGATCGTTCAGAACTGCTCCCGATTCTGGAAGTGGGTTTTGGTGGATCTTCAGGATGGACCAGACTGGGTTTGACAATGCCCTGGCCGATCCTGAGGATCCACTTCCAGAACCGGGAGCAGTACTAAACGATCCTGAGGATCCACCAAAACCCACTTCCAGCATTTTTGAATCGGTAATGACGTCAGCACATTAAACGTTTATAGTCGATATTAAACGATACAATTCAATATATACAGATTTTTTCAATTTTTTACGGATGTGATTAAAATTGGGCGATAAAAACAGATTTCGTCAATAAAAAATCCGTGGTTAGCCCCTAGCTTTTTTTTCATATTTTGTATAAAAAAGCATATTTTCAGTGAAAATCGTGCATGCACATGTTTCGCTCACTTCTTTCTTTGAACACTCTTCGTGTGTCAACACAATGTCTGTGTGTGTATCGCTTGTGCCGTCGTTTGTAAACGACGTCAATGAGCTGGGTACGAAGAGTGTCGATCGAAAGAAAAGAGCGAAACATATAAATGCATGCATCGCACTGCTCATTGACGTCGTTTACAAACGACGGCACAAGCGATACACACATAGACATTGTGTTGACATACGAAGAGTGTTCAAAGAAAAAAATGAGCGAAACATGTGCATGCACGCTCCGCGCAGCTCATCGTAAGTGTGAAGAGTATAACGAAAAAATAGCGACTCTGTGTGAGCAGAATCCCTATTGTGTTTTGATGCGTTGCGTTGAACGCCACGCGTGAAAAATATCTGTTATTTTTGTGCGATATTTTTATCCCATATGAGTAAAAATATTCCGTAGTAATCTCTGGTTTAAACTTTCTAAGATTTATGGCGAAAAAATAAGAATCTGAGAGTTTGAAGTCAATTGAAATCGAAACGGGTACCTCCCATACAAAAATATGATTTTTCGGAAGTTCTTCTTTGGGCAAGTAACTCAGGATGAAATCGAAAATGGCTCATCTTCAAACTCGAACTAAGTTTTATGGATATAAAACTTCTGGAAGATCCAGATTCTGATTATCTCAACTATTTTTCGAGTTATCGTGTTAACACACACCAAGGACGACGACGACGACAAAGACCACGGCACACAAACGGAGAAGTGTCTCAAAAACGTTTTTTCTACGCGTTTCATGAGTTTTCATGATGATCTAAACCAGTTTCGCGAAAAAAGTTTTCGGGACCAATTCCCTTAACAAAGTGTACGAAAAAGTAAAATATTCAACATTACCATTGTTGGCAGCATATTGAATCTGTTCCAATTGTTCTTCAATATTAATTCGGTTTCCTTTACCGATAAAAAGTTTGGCGACATTATTGTGACCTGAAAAATAATTCAGATCAATGAAAAAGATCAAAGCGGTATTTAATTTAGTCAGCAGTACCATGGTTAACAGCTAACTGAAGTGGTGTTAGATTCTCATGATTTCTAATATCAACTTTGGCTCCTTTTTTGATGAGAAGTTTAGCAACATTCTTGTGACCTTAGAAATAATTTAGATCGATGAAAAAGATCAAACCCATTCTATATTTTGTGAAAATAACTATTCAACATTACCATCTCTAGCAGCAAAATGAAGAGGTGTATGATTAAAATTAGTCACGACATCCATATTGGCGCCTTTTTTGATGAGAAGTTTAGCAACATTCTTGTGACCTTAGAAATAATTTAGATCGATGAAAAAGATCAAACCGATTCTTTATTTTGTGAAAATAAATATTCACCATTACCATTCTCAGCAGCATAATGAAGAGGTGTCTGATTAAAATCATTCATGATATCAATATTGGCGCCTTTGTTGAGGAGAACCTTGGCGACATTTTTATGACCTGGAAAAAAAATTCAGATCGGTGAAAGAGATCAAATCAATCATTCCTTTAACAGAACAAGCATTCAAC